AGCCCCCACTCTCCTCCCAGAGCCAGGGAGGGAACCCAGGAGTCCTGGCTCCAACCCCCCCTTCTAACCACTAGCCCCCACTCCCCTCCCAGAGCCAGGGAGGGAACCCAGGAGTCCTGGCACCCAGCCCCCACCCCACGCTCTGACCCACCGGACCCCACTCCCCTCCCTTACTCAGCGCCATCTGATAGACCGTCCTCTTCTTCTCCGTGGCCAGCGCCGGCTCGTAATCTGCAGGGACAGGAGAAGGAGGGAGACTGTGACACAAGGCGGGGGTGTGGGGGGGGGTCACTCTGAGTAGCGGGGTGGGGGGGTGACAGTGAGACCCGGGGGAGCGGGAGCTGGCATGGGGGAGGAGCAGCGGAGCGGGGAGCGTGAGCTGGGGGGGCTGGTGCGTGGAGATTGGGGGAGGGGGAGGCGGGAGGAGGGGGTGCAGGGCGGCTGGGGGGGCGCAGGCACAGGCAGGTGTGCGGGGGAACGGCCCGGGGGGGCTAGGAGCCCGGGGGGCACAGAGGCTGGCGTGGGGAAGCAGTGGAGGAAGCTCATGGGGGGCTGAGGGTGGGGCTGTGCCCGGCCCCAGCTCACACTCACCACTCCTCTTCTTCCAGGGGGAGACTGGGGGAGACACCGAGAGGGGACAGCATTAGAGATCGGGGGGCCCTGGTCCCCCACAGCTCTGGGGCTGACCCCTCTGCCCCCCGAGGTGCCGGGGCACAGAGCCTGGGAAAGAACTGGGCCCCCCACCACGTCCCACCACCAGGCCGGGCGTCCCCCTCCCACCGGCCTCCCCACCTCCACCCCTCAGCCCCCCCCCGCTACCCCCACTCCGCACCAGGGACTCAGACAGGGGTACCCCTGGGCAGAGATGGGGGGCACTGCCCGGGGGGGACGGGACATACCTTTCTCCACTGCCGGGTGCCAAGGGGGTCCCGGGTCCCAGAGGGCCAGGGGGAGGGAGAGACAGAGAGTGTGAGAGCCCTGCCCCAGAGCCCGCCCCCCACCACAGACCCATGCCCCAGCAGAGACCCCTTCCCCATCCCTTGGGACCTCCCCCGCCCCCACCACAGACCCTTCCCCCATCCCCTCTGGGGACCCTCCCCGCCCCACCACACAGACCCCTCCCCCATCCCCTCTGGGGACCCTCCCCCGCCCCCACCACAGACCCCTCCCCATTCCCCTTGGGACCTCCCCCATCCCACCACAGACGCCTCCCCCTTCCCCTATGGGGACCTCCCCTGTCCCACCACAGATCCTTCCCCCATCCCCTCTGGGGACCCTCCCCCGTCTCATCACAGACCCCTCTAGGGACTATCAGCCTCCTCCCCCACTTCCAGCACAAAGCCTTCCCCACATACCTCCCAATTCCCCCACCCCCACCCCCCCGCCCTCCCCCTTACCCATCTCCTCCAGCTCAGAGGTCATGGATTTGGAGCGCAGCGAGATGGCTGGGGGGGGGCAGTCGTTTCGTCTGCTGGGGAGCCGCTGTAGGGGGGCAAAGGGGCTCCCAGGTGAGGGGACAGCTGGACAGACACTGAGATTCCCCCCCGACCCCCAAGCACAGGAGCCCACTCCCCTCCCAGAGCTGGGAGAGAACCCAGGAGTCCTGGCTCCCAGCCACCCCTGCTCTAACCACCAGCCCCCGCTCCCCTCCCAAAGCTGGGAGAGAACCCAGGAGTCCTGGCTCCCATCTTCCCTCCCCTAAACACTAGACCCCACTCCCCTCCCAGAGCTGGGGAGAGAACCCAGGAGTCCTGGCTCCCAGCCCCCCCCCCCCCACAACCACCAGACCCTGCTCCCCTCCCAGAACCAGGGAGAGAACCCAGAAGTCCTGGCACCCAGCCCCCCACCTCGCTGCTCTAACCACTAGACCCCAGTCCCC